GTTTTGTTTCTATTCTCTGTTGAGGTGCTACAATGGCAGTAACGATTTTCTTTTAGACTTAAACATAGTGCTATAACATGTTTCATCAACATGTTAGTTTTCATCACTAACAAAACACCCCCCAGTGGCGCAGCGATATATCTGCGGACGTAAACCGCTAGAAACCGGGTTTCGATACCTATGGTGGGCAGAGCACAAATAACCCTTCGTGTAGCTTTGTGCTTAACTACAAACAACAGCAACACTAGCAAAACTATTGTAATTTTTGTGAAAAACTCTGCATCAAATAACAGTGTCTTAATACAGAAGTACGAAACAAATACTTAACATCCTTTCTTCTAGTTTTCTTAATCATAAGTAAGGCATTAGTAGTACAAATGGGGCGGATATACAGTACAAACTATCCACTCATATACTCCTTTAACAACCAAATAATACATCTTCAAAAGTATTTGAGAAACACCCTTAGGCGATAAACAAACCACATACAAAATTACAAGCCATAGAACCATTTGAGAAAGTCAGCATAACAGATAAAAAAATTCACAAAACCACAAATTTCTCAATCTTGCTGACTGACTGACATTGTCGAACGCTTCTAGCTGTGTAACAAACAAACTTAACATAGATATAAGTTAACCAAATAGAACAACAGCACAGGGACCACGTGCTAGTGCTAGCGTGAAGTAAATTATTAAATTAATTAACCAATTTTCAACCCTTAGTATATACACACAACTCACACTATATCATCCAAATGACATGTTACACTAAAGGGTGTACAGTACATACGCACACCCACAATATGCACATACACCATAAGTGAAGAAAATGCACACCATACACACACACAGCATTATTTGGCATAATATTATGGGGCACACCCACACTGAATATATGCATACACGATATCATCAGAAATGAATGAATGATGTATAAAGACACGTCACCCTGTATATGCATACAGGATATCATCAGAAATGAATGAATGATGTATAAGATCATGTCACCCTGTATGAAAAAACGTGCATGAACAAGTGGAAAAAATATTTTAAAAAAACATTAAAAGTGTCGGAATGGGTTCACCAAAAAGTGAGGAAACAAGGCAGGAATGTGCATAGTGTAATAAAACTTTTTCTATACATCTTCACAAGGAGGAGTGCCCAACATCACGGCCATTTCTACTTCGTTTTTCTTTGTTCATGATACTATATAACTTATGGGTACAAATAAAAGTGTATATATGATTCTTCAATATTTATATAGACAATAAGAAATCCATGACGTCGATATACAGAAAACTATTAGGATTGGTTTTTATTTTTGTATTTTAATCGACCTATATAGGTAATGTAGGAAATCCTGTTGCCTTCTCATGCAAAAGAAGGGACAAGTTGTAAAGTAAAGAAAACATACAAGTTATGAGTCCACATGAATATCTGATTCTTCTGGTGCCGTATAAACAGACTTTACAGTATATGTATCGCCTTCAATAATTCCATTCACAAATACCTGTAGTCCTTGTATGATAAGCATAACTAAGTTTGATAAGTTTAAACAACTGGCTTATTGTGTACAGGATAGAAAAAATAAATGAAATAGGCATGGACAGGATGTTAGACACGTCCCCTTGTGAGATTGTACATCATGCTCATTCCTACCTTGTTTCCTCACTTTTTGGTGCACCCATTCCTACACTTTGAATATTATTTTACACTTGTAACATTTGTATTGTTTGTTGACAATGTATTCTCATTCAAGAAGACGGGGAATCTGCATTAGAATTATGATGTTTTGAATTTGGAGAAATAAACTAATAAGTTTATATCTGTACATACGTGTTAAACAGTAGGTCAGAGCTGTCTGTCGCTTTATCACTTACATCATCCAGGCAATAACTGATATATAACAGATATAAGGTACTGGGGAGATTAAAGGTCAAACTCTCAACAAAAAAATAATATTAATTTTTTACGATGCGCACTCGAACTTGACGGAAATTATATCATTTTTGTATGTTGCATAGCTTAACTTGACAAAAATCATATTAACGTTTATGATGCAGAGCTGAACATGACAAAATAGGATTTATTTTAACTGTCTGACGTACATGATGAAAAATCAGAAAAAGTCAGAAAAAATAGTGCATAAGATAAAATTTAATATCTAATAATCTACAAATTTGTTTCTGTAAGTCAGATTAGCTTTTAACTATGCTAGTATAAGCAGGCAGGTTTACATTTCTCTAATACATCTGTATAAGCTAATATTAATACATTTTTATATTCAGAGAGCACGCTTCAAAAAATGATTTGAGATTTTAAATCTTTTCTTCGTAGATTTCCTTAATAAAACAAGAGTCTACAGTTTGGATAACATTCAGACTTTCACCTTCGAGTTGACGTTAATCGACCTGTTGACAACGTGCTAAAATGCGGTACATTGCTATACCAAGATATATTTTTCTCTGTTTTTGCGTTAGTATAGGTCTCAGGCTGTCAATAAATCTTAAAGACAGCAACAAAAATCGTTTGAACATTGATATGCACGATCCAATTAACAATGTGCTTGATACATTCGTGTTTCTTGTTCTTTATTTTGGCCTGGTGGTTAGGGCGCTTGATTTGAAATCTGCATGTCTTTGAACATGCTCGTCTTCTCAGCCGTGGGGGAGTTATGGTATGCGGTGAATGTCACTATTCGTCGGTAAAAAAGTAGACCAAGAGCTAGCGGTTAACATTATCTACCTCCCCTCTAGTCTATAGCTTCTAAATTACAGACGGCTAGCACAGATAGCCCTCGATTAGTTTTGCACCAAGTTCAAAACAAACTTCTTCTTTTTTTACTTATTAGACTCAAACTACAGTTTTCATTTTATATTTTAGCTAATACTGCTTTTTCTACAGTTTACCTTTTCTATTTTAGTTAATACTGCTTTTTTTACAGTTTACCTTTTTTATTTTAGCTAATACTGCTTTTTTACAGTTTACCTTTTCTATTTTAGCTAATACTGCTTTTTTACAGTTTACCTTTTCTATTTTAGCTAATACTGCTTTTTTTACAGTTTACCTTTTCTATTTTAGCTAATACTGCTTTTTTACAGTTTACCTTTTCTATTTTAGCTAATACTGCTTTTTTACAGTTTACCTTTTCTATTTTAGCTAATACTGCTTTTTTTACAGTTTACCTTTTCTATTTTAGCTAATACTGCTTTTTTACGGAAACCCTGGATGTTGTATTTTAATTGCCTATGATGGCGGACTGTCATGAAAAATCAAACAAGTTGAACTGATTATAATAATTTTTAATATAGTTTGAGGAGAAGAAATTACTATTGTTTTAGTTTTAGTTAATGTTTTGTTTCTTTTTTTCTACTGTAAATATATTCATAACAAACCTTGCACTAAACGTTATCACGTTTGTTTGTTTTTTATACTGGTAGAAAGTAAAAAACATCAATTAAAGTCAGTTTAAGAAAAGATAGTTTTCAAGATTCGCAGCACACACACACATTGACTGTATCCAAACCTCCAGCACCTGGGAAGCAGGCTTCTGGAAATTACCGGAAGTTGAAAGCTGACTTGACAAATGAGGCTGTCGAGCTTTTGCGTTGTTTACATCCCATTTCCCGTGAATGTCATAGGTAGAACATCAAAGAAGTTAGTGTATATACATTTAAGTTTAGCACCGATTTATCATGTTAGATCATCAAATATGAGACTATACGACATATTCAGCGTTAATCATAACAATAGACGTATTAATTTGATTTTAAAGCCTCGGTCCTTCTACTTCAAACAACTGCTCAGAACTTATTTATTTTTAGTTTGATATAATTATCATATGGATAGAGTCAACAAGTATTTTAATCTGCAATGCATGAAGATTTTTCTTTCATAACTCTTTTTACTAAAGATAAGAAATGTTGTTTGGAATTTTTCACAAATTATCATTTAAAGTAAGAAAATTGTAAAATGCGATTGAGGTCGAATTAAAAGCTAATTGGTCGTTACATCTCAATAGTCGTATGACGCAGTTATTAAAACGACATATATTCTAAAATCGTGGTTCCTTTGAATCATCTGGATTACTGATAATACTGGCCAAAGAGTCATTTTCATCAGATTGTACATCAGCAGTTTGTACTTCACCAACATATTAACATTTTATAGTCTGACTTACAGTTACATAGTACATCAGCAGTTTGTACTTCACCAACATATTAACATTTTATAGTCTGACTTACAGTTAGATAGTACATCAGCAGTTTGTACTTCACCAACATATTAACATTTTATAGCCTGACTTACAGTTAGATAGTACATCACCAGTTTGTAGTTCACCAACATATTAACATTTTATAGTCTGACTTACAGTTCGATAGTACATCACCAGTTTGTACTTCACCAACATATTAACATTTTATAGCCTGACTTACAGTTCGATAGTACATCACCAGTTTGTACTTCACCAACATATTAACATTTTATAGCCTGACTTACAATTAGATAGTATATCAGCAGTTTGTACTTCACCAACATATTAACATTTTATAGTCTGACTTACAGTTAGATAGTACATCAGCAGTTTGTACTTCACCTGTAGTTACCCGTTAAGAACGTATGTGTACTATTGACGTCTATTTGTTTTCAAACTTTTCTTATCATTGCCGTGTATATCTAAACTATAAACGTTAACCGATTGCTCCATTAGCTTTACACCAGAAAATATATACCTGTTAGAAACGAATTAATTTTCTGATTGTTTGCTATCCTTATCTTCTAAAGTTTCTTATGGCTGCAAAGTTATAAAGATCAACCGTCTATCCTGACTGACCACGTGTACTGTGAAGGGTTATGGTCCTTTCTTTTTAACAATAGACCTACGTTTTTACCACTAACATTTATTGTCTTTTATCTTTTCTTAACATTACCAAGTTTACTTACCCCTAAGTAGTATATTTATATTATAAAGACTTATTGTATTTTGACTTTACTTACAAAGAGTTGTTCAAAAGGATGAAGATCACGCTTCGTGGAGATGATTCAATATCTTTAAAAATCTCTCGTTTTTCTTACTTGTTCAAGCTTTTGATATTAAGAATTTAAACTAAAACAAACTTTTTTTATCCACAATCTAAAATAAAGAGTGAAAAATAATCTGAAATTTGTGTAAAATTGTCTTGTTTAACAGAATATTATTATTCTGTGAAACAAAACAAGACACCTATCGTCTTTAGCTTGAACTGAAGTTGTGAGGTACATATTCGTTTTCATCACGCAGGGGAGGTTACCAGGTTGTCATTCTATTGGTTATGGTCTAGTGACGTCGTACTGTATTAGCAGAGTTTATGGAACATGGTAGGTTTTACCGTATACTAAAGCGTTTCTGTTGAATAAACCTTCAAAAATAAAAATAATAACTATTATGGCTATGATGAGCATTTCTTTTGTTTTCACCATTTCATATATTATTCGACGTATGTAAATGACAGAACTGCAGATTGTGCAAAGGTGTTAATCGTACTTTATGTGACCAATACTCCATTGTGTTGCGCAGATGCGAGTGGTGGCACCACAAGTGACGTGTTTATATGTATACTTCTTTCACGGTAAATTCTACAACAATCGATGGTTTAATGCTTTCACATGTAGATTGGAGAAAAATATAAAAAGTCTTTCCTAAAGAGAAATATTTGTAGAATGATAGTGTTATATGATGGCGAAAAAAAAAGGACACATAATTTCAGTCAAATGAGTGTTCAATGTTTTATATGTAAGCAGAAAACATTCAGAGTTGGACGTTTAGAATAGTAACAGGTTCGAAACCACATTTGAAGCCAATCAGACGCAAAGTTCTCATTCAAAAACTGAAGGCCATGGTTGCGAAAGAGAACCTTTCAACCTGATGGCGGATGAGACTAAAATTACAACATTTACAATCGACCCCACTTGTCTATTTCTCTGGTAGAAAGCCAACGAAGTTTTGTACATTTGGTTTGTTTATAATAATTTAGTCTTGGAAACCCATTTCTATGTACAGTGGAAAGTTTGTTAAGAGTGTTCTTACCACCCATCGCAAGAGATTGTTAGAATAGAAAGTCCGCTACTGGGGAATAGTGCATAATTACGACTGCAAGACTGAGCGCGATTTACCTTGGAAGATGTAGTTCGAAGGTCAACACGGATCGTGTAAGTCCGCTCTATAAGATGTAGTTCCTAGGTCAACACGTTTCGTGTAAGTCCGCTCTATAAGATGCAGTTCCAAGGTCAACACGGGTCATGTAAGTCCTCTTTATAAGATGTAGTTCCAAGGTCAACACGGGTCGTGTAAATCCTCTCTATAAGATGTAGATACTTCTTTAGTAATGTTTGTCTGTTTTTAATTATGCACAAAGCTACACAAGGGCTATCTGTGCTCTGCCCACCACGGGTATCGAAACCCGGATTCTAGCGTTGTAAGTCCGCAGACATACCGCTGTGCCACTGGGGGGCTCTCTAGTAATGAAAATATAACTTACGTTCTTCAACCATCAGCCAAAGCCTTATAAAAGTCACTTTTTAATGTGTAAGAAATCAACTATTTACATACATATTATAGTTATAGTTACACAGTTGTTTTGGTTTTAATAACGGATTTTCTATAATCCAGCTACGCAGATTTCGAAAATAATATTAATTTTTTTCTATCACGTAAGGATTTTTTACAAATCAGAAAGAAGAAACAACTCTTACTTAGATAAAATTATTATTTCTTTTACCAACAACTAACATTCTTTATTATTATGTTCGTTAACAAAAATACAAACAAACTGAAAATAAAGGGAAGAACATTGATGCCAAACGAATATGCATTCTCGTTCATCCTAATTTGTTTTGTGAAATCTACGTCTTTTACTCTCAAAACTACGTGTTGTGGTCTTTCTTTTATGTATTGCATTATGACGTTTGTGAAAAATCTGTACGTGATGGGGGAAAATGGCTATCATTTTCGGATTCAGCGTACAGGAATTACTGTAGGACATGTAAAAATTTCAAGACAATAAAACCATCGCAAGCCTGTCTAATTATTAAGCATAATTTTCCTTGAAGTTTGAATTTTGCTTATTTTGCTGTGATGTGGTTTTTCGAAAATTTTAACCTGAAATAAAACTAAAATATTTTATTGAATTGTACTTCATTTAAAATTATGTTCACTTAAACTATTATATTTTAAGATTGTTTATCATTTACTTTACTGTCTTAAACTGTACTGAGTCGTGATTTTAAGTGTAACTTTGAGTTTTAATTACTTCAAGTTTCAATCAGTAAATTTGGAAATTATAAACTTCGACTATAGTTATTCTGGTTGTCGTTTTTAGTTAGACAGCGCTAAGATATGTGTGATTCTATTTACTTTGAATTACAACAGTTTTAAAATTTGTTTTGCTGGATTACTTTGAATATTCATATAATATGTTCTAGTGTTTTATTATTTTGTAAAACGTTCGTGATTAATGGTCAGTTTTCTCTTACTTTCTCATATGTCTGTATAGCTTTCATTTCATTATACTGTTCTGATTAATTATGTTATTCAGTAACGTGTTCAAGTCTTTGTTGTATTAATCAATTGTCTCCACATTTTAATTTTTGAGTTAATTTACTTTGATTTTTTTTCTGTATTCGATGTAATGTTAGATCTGATTTGGGGCAATAGTAAATTTATTGTGTATTATGATTGAGTTTCAATTTTATTATAGATACTTTCATTTCACCGTGATTATTACTTTGATTTCGTCCTGTACTCGGTGTAATGTTAGATATGATTTGAGGCAATAGTAAGCTTATTGTGTATTGCGCTTAAATTTCAATTTTATTATATATACTTTCATTTTACTGTGATTATTTTAAGTCTTATTTTATACCATTCTCTTACAATGAGTTTCAATTTGTAAATTTATTCATGTTGTTTTTCTATGTAGTATATTTGTTTTGGGTTGATTATCTTTTGAGTTTAGTTCGATTTAATTTTGTATCGTCAGTTCATTGGCTGCTGGAACTGTATGTTTTAAATGAAGTTTCTATTTTTGCCCATGTATTCGTGCCATGTTTATTTTGATTTCTTCTGATAATATAGTTAACAAAAGTCAATGCTATGTTTCTTAGACACTTGAATTCAGCTTAAACTTAATTCTAAATTTGGTTTATGTCTAGGATTGCCATGCGATAAGAAAGAGAAAGTTTAAAACAGTCAAGAAATACTTTTGTTTAACTAGAAAAGAATACTTGTTATTCATGCATATTCAGGGATATTTTAAATTCTTATTTGTTTAGGTGTTTTGCAGTTAGTTAATCTATTAGTGAGTAAGATGTGAGTAATCAAAAACTTGCTTTAATCCTTGTCTCAGACTAATTTTAAATGTCATAGTACTTATTCCAGAGATACTATACTTAACTGTGATTATGAATCGTCTCTCTGCCAGGACATGGCTTATTCCAAAGTGAATGGATGTCCAGAGGATCGTGTAAGTTAATTTGAGCTTGGAGCTAAACTATCTTTGAATATGAATAAAGATAATGAGCACTGACATGTCGTATTGGAAATAAGTGAATAGAATGAATATAAGGTGTAAATACTATGGAACCTTTCCCCCTACAGTATATGAAAGCGTATTCCTCCAGAGTGCCTTCACCTGTTGTTACTTTAGATTGTTATTGGCTGTCTCCTGAAGAAGAACAGTCAACTATTCGAGAGCGCTCGAGTTTTGGGTCTTATTTTAAGTCTACTCAATCCATCGCATAGGGCCACACCAGCATAATACTCATGAAAACATAAGCAGTGGTACTATTCCTAGCAGTAGTGTGATGAATGCACTAATTGCTCCCACGACAAAAATCTCATATGATATAGCAGTAAAACCTATTTTTGGCTAGTAAAAGCTATTTCATGTGATAGATTGGAAAGAAAATTCATGTTTCAGTAGGAGCTATACGGAACTCTGAAGAAGTTGCACAAAACTAAGACTTTTATTAATAGGACCAGTTGAGTTAGAAAACCCAGTCTCTGCAAAGGTGACATTACTTAACTTAGGGTATGTTCTTTAAATGTGTGAGATCTTTCCAAAAACCTATAGCTGTAAGTACATATGTGAATGTTTTCTCTAGGACAGTAAGATACACCTTACGCAATGGATGTGTAGCTGCTCAAAACACACTGTTTAGTAGAGATAATCAAATCATAAAGCTGAAATGGCATCAGGCTTTTAACAGTGGATGAACAAAGCTGGATAATAGTTCTCATGATATGTTTCTTTTTGTTAAGAGTTTCAAATACAAACATGAAAATGTTGCGTAGTATCTACAGAACGACGTTGTAGCCTTTTACATGTCTGTTTTAGACTGATCTAATGTGTACTGGCTTCTATCCTGATGTTAACTGGAGATCAAAACAAACGTGTTCTTAACTTTTTAGAATTTGGCTCGTTCTTAGCGTCAATGGAAATGCATTTGGACCTAAAAGTCAATTTTGTATTTAGATTTTTATCCAAAGTAACCTTAGGGCAAAGCCTTATAGTTTGAGAAATTCATTTACATTTTCAATTTTGTTGAAGGAAAGTTTTCAATCCTCAATGATAATTTTTTCTTTTATCCTCAACACCTACTCACTACAAGTTTATGAAATAATTCGAAGGAATGTATTAAACTTGACGGTTATAAAACGCCCGATTGTGTTCGTATGTGCTGGATAGGCTGAAGGCAGAGTTTTGACAACGTTAATTAAAGAATCTTTGTAACACAAAGTGGAATCGCTGTAACACGGGCGTCAAGACTAATACCTGTAACTATAGGCAGCTAATGAAGCCTACATTTTTGTGATCCAATTTTAACCTATGACAAAAGACATATGGTGAAACTTGTGAGTAACAAAAATCAAATAGTTTTTTTCTTCTGAAGTATATGTGAAATTGGTTCAATAGTTTACCAAATAAGCAATTAAATGGCTAGTTTTTACGTTCCTGTGTGTTCAAGAGTTCTTGACAAGGTCTTCTTGATTGATGAGTCAACACAAACAGGATATAGTACTCATTTTCCAATAAATATTCTTTATATTGGTTAATTCTGAAAACATCCAAGAGCAGA